CTAACACTTCTTGGTTTTTACTGTGCATCCAGCCTCAGAATCACTTCTTACCTAAAGCCATGGCAAGTCATTTACGTTTATGCAGGTTAAGTCATGTCCCAGTAAAATGTCTGTGGAATTAGGAATACAGCAACTGCTACCTGCTTCCTATTATAAAACTGAGCTATTTGTGAAAAGCCTTGATATATGACTGAGTTTTCTTTTTCTCCCTAACTTTAAAAATATTCACCTGATCTCTTTTACTCCCATATTCACTCAGCCTTTGGTAATAAGATTTAACTTCTCTACTGTAAGAAAATATTTAACTTGTACTCTAAAGGGACTTACTGAATTTTCATTCTCTCCAAATATACCTGAATATATCTATATGTGCTATTTATATCTATATCTGTATATATACTTACAAAACAAGACACAGCATCACTTACCTACTTGCAGATATGGTATGAAATTTAATGTGTTCATTGAACACACACTGAAATAATGGTTTTTATTCTATGGTACCACATTTTAGATCATGTGTGTCAATCTTTAATCTCTTTCCTCATTAGCCTATTTTCCCATCCTTCCCATAAACATTCAATACGTCATCATGACAAAAAAATAATACAGACATCATTTTCTTTAAACCTAGGCCCACCATGACTGACATAATCAGGAACAATGAGCAGGATACAGAAATTACATATATTTTATGGAAAACTGGTAAATCAAATGAAAGCAATCTGAAGGCACTCCTGAAAACTGCGTGTCCTGAAAGGACTTTATATCAAAGTGGTCCAGGTGATGAAATGCATACTTGTCTTATTGGTCAAAACCACCACCCAATAAATTGTATTCCATTGTGTATATATGCTACATCTTCTTTATCCATTCATCTATTGATGTGCACTTAGGATGCTTCCATGTCTTGGCAATTATAAAAAATACTGCTGTTTATAGTGAGGAGTAGGCATCTTTTTGAATTAATGTTTTCATTTTTCTCAGGTCTATGCCCAGAAGTGGAATTGCTGGGCCATATGGTGGTTCTGTTTTGGGTTTTTGAGAAACCTCCATATTGTTTTCCATGGTGGCTGCACCACTTTACATTTCCACCCACAGTGGACAGGGATTCTCTTTTCTCCACATCCTTGCCAATATTTGTTATTTGTGTGCTTTTTGACGGTGGCCATTCTGACAGATGTAAGATGGTGTCTCACTGTGATTGTGATTTGCATTTCCCTGATATTGGTGATGTTTCATGCTCCTGTTGGCCATCTGCATTTCCTCTTTTGGAAAAATGTCTGTTCAATTCTTCTGCCCATATTTTAAATGAGTTGTTTGCTTTTTTAACTGAAGTACAGTTGATTTAAAATGTTGTATTAGCTTCTGGTGTCCAGCATGGATGAGCTTGGAGGGCATTATACTAAGTGAAATAAGTCAGACAGAGAAAAACAAATACTGTAAGATACCACATACATGTGGAATCTAAAAAAATACAACAAACTAGTGAATAGAACAGAAAAGAAACAGACTCACAGATGTAGAGAAGGAACCAGTGGTTACCAGTGGGGAGAGGGTAGGGGGTGGGAAAAGACAGAGGTGAAGGATTAAGAGGTACAAACTATCAGGTATAAAATAAGCTATAAGGATGTATTGTACAACATGGGGAATATAGCCAATATTTTATAATAACTAGAATACAACTTTTAAAAGTTGTGAACCACTATATTATATACCTGTAACATAACATTGTACATCAACTGTACTTCAATTTTAAAAATCTATT